AGCACACTGAGCCCCGCACAGATACTCAGCACTAGGCTCAGCTGCCTGCGGGGGGCGCCGAGCACACTGAGCCCCGCACAGATACTCAGCACTAGGCTCAGCTGCCTGCGGGGGGCGCCGAGCACACTGAGCCCTGCACAGATACTTAGCACCGTCCTCGCAGCCGCAGCTGATGTTGATGGGCTTCCCGCCACGTGCCAGGGACTTTGCAAGTGTTACTTAATTCTTCTAATAATCCTTCCGGGCCCAGAGGATCACTGCCCTCCTACCGATGTGAGATCAGGGGCTCAGTAGTGAACGGACTTGCCCCCAACACGCAGGGCTGCAGCCAGGTGTGACTGACCCAAGGCCTGTGTCCTTTCCAGACACCCAGCAGGTACTTGGGAACCCTAGAGTGGCCGAGGTGGTGATCACACCGTGCCAGGCTCTTGTCCAAACTGTATGAGCTTGTGTGAACTCCTTGACTCCTCACAGGCACCCCCTGAGGAAGACCTGGCGTTTGCCCAGTTTTCTCTAATGGACAGAGTAAGGCACCAAGATACTGTCCAGGCCACACGGCTAGTGACAGGCAGAGCCAGGGCTGGCACCCCAGCAGGATGGCCCAGAGCTGACAAGTGACTTCCAGATGGAAGACAGCCCAGGGCACCAGCATCCCCTCAGCCACCCCCCCCCACCCGCCCCCCACCCCCGGCCAGACTCAGGGCTTGTAGGCCAGTCTCGAATTATGGTCCATTTATTCCACCCAGTGGCCACTGCAGGAATTACCTTTCTCCCTGCCATCACCGCTGCGCTGTGAATTCAGGCCCCGCCCCTCTCACCAGCCTCCTCCTGGGCCTCCTGGCCTCCCGTCTCTCTCCACTCCAGTTTGTCCTCCAGTAGGATCTCTGTACGAGGCAAGTCTGACCTATCACTCACAGGCTTTAGCTGTCACCCCCCGGGGCCCTCCGGTCTGCCCCTTAAGGACTAGGCAGATATCTTACGTCGGGTTTACAGGGACCAGATTCCGAGGTGCAGGTTAGCAGGCAGGTGTGTGCGGTGACCTTGGAAAGCAGCGAGTGGAGGAGGAGGCTTGGGCAGAGGGAGGAGTTGAGCTGTGTTGCAGTCATGACTGGACCTCAGCCGTCCCACGGGCAGCTCTGGAGCTGGGATGGCCATCAAAGACATCCCCCTGGGCTTCCCTGGTGGCGCAGTGGTTGAGAGTCTGCCTGCCGATGCAGGGGACGCGGGTTCGTGCCCCGGTCCGGGAAGATCCCACATGCCGCGGAGCGGCTGGGCCCGTGAGCCATGGCCGCTGAGCCTGCGCGTCCGGAGCCTGTGCTCCGCAACGGGAGAGGCCACAGCAGTGAGAGGCCCGCGTACCGCAAAAAAAAAAAAGACATCCCCCTGAGGTAAGGGGGAAGGCTTTTATGCCCCCCACCGACACGTCATTGGATGAGGGCTGTCCTCGGGGAGGGTCAGGACCTGGGGCAAAGGGGTTCTTCCACCTACAGAGCAATCAGCCACCAACACCTGGTACCATGAGTGCCTGATCCGGAAGGAGGGTCTGGGCGGCCACCACGGTGTCCACTACAGCTGTGGGCTGGTTAGATGCCAGACAGAGCCAGCTTCAGGTTGCCCGCTTTCCCATGTGGTCCCTGGTGAGCCACTTCATCTCTCTGAACTAGCTTCCCCTCTTTTTTTTTTTTTTTTTTTTGTGGGGTACGCGGGCCTCTCACTGTTGCGGCCTCTCCCGTTGCAGAGCACAGGCTCCGGACGCGCAGGCTCAGCGGCCATGGCTCACGGGCCCAGCGCTGCTCCACGGCACGTGGGATCCTCCCGGATCGGGGCACGAACCCGTGTCCCCTGCATCGGCAGGCGGACTCTCAACCACTGCGCCACCAGGGAAGCCCCTAGCTTCCCCCTCTTGAAGTGGGAATGATGTTCCCTTCCTCACAGAGTTTTGTGGGGAGTGGGTGAGGGGGAAGCTGGAGGTCCCAGAACAGAGCCTGAGTTACTGGGGCCTTGCAGGTAAGGAGTTTGCATGTTCTTGTTGTTTTCTTTTTGGCCGAGCCAGGTGGCTTGCAGGATCCTAGTTCCCCGACCTGGAATTGAAGCCGGGCCCCAGAATTGAAAGCACCGCGTCCCAACCACTGGATGGCCAGGGAACCAACCCCCCCTTTTTTCCCTCCTTTTTAAATTAATTAATTTATTTATTTTTGGCTGCGTTGGGTCTTCATTGTTGCGCGCAGGCTTTCTCTAGTTGCAGAGAGCGGGGGCTACTCTTCGCTGCGGTGCCTGGGCTTCTTACTGTGATGGCTTCTCTTGTTGCGGAGCACGGGTTCTAGGCACGCGTGCTTCAGTAGTTGTGGCT